CATGGCCACACCTGGCTGCAAAGGAGATAGAGAATGTAGTTTTAAATTCTGGGCAGGAATAATGCACAGCTGAAAATCAGGATTTTTCTCACTGAGGCATGAGGGAAGAATATATGTCAAGGTAGGCAATGCCACTATGTCTTTGTGTTCCTATTATATGCTGGCTCTTGGGGCTACCATGTAGAAAATCAAAACACCTCTTTCTGTTTTTGTTATGAGCTATGGTTTCTTAATTTAGAAATCTGGCTTAATTTAGAAATCCTGTTTCTTCTGCGAACTATCATTTCTTTATTTGGCAATCTTGTCTGACTCTTGCTTTCTTTCCCTTGCCTTTCAGCTGTTTTGGAAAAAAGTAAGGTTTAGACTTCTCCATGTTAACCATGAGCGTGACACTTTCCCCACTGAGGTCACAGGACCTGGATCCCATGGCTACTGACGCTTCACCCATGGCCATCAACATGACACCCACTGTGGAGCAGGGTGAGGGACAAGAGGCAATGAAGGACATGGACTCTGACCAGCAGTACGAGAAGCCACCCCCACTCCACACAGGGGCCGACTGGAAGATTGTTCTCCACCTCCCTGAAATTGAGACCTGGCTCCGGATGACCTCAGAGAGGGTCCGGGACCTAACCTATTCAGTCCAGCAGGATTCAGACAGCAAGCACGTGGATGTGCATCTAGTTCAACTAAAGGTAAGGCAGGTCTCTGGGCTCAGCTCCTCTCAGGACAGAGTCTGAAAAAGGCTGTGGTGGCACCTGCAGCCTGAGTTCTATAATTCCCAACGAGGAGATGTGCAGGAAGAAAATTAAGAGTAGCAGGTTTGAAACCGTTATCATTGTGGGTAAACATGGATGGAATTAATTCTTCCCTGACTTACTTGATGTGCTGATTATCAAGGATAAAACTGGCCTTTGGGGGTAATATGGAGAAGTGGGCAAAGGGAGGGGTGTTTTTGTGCAATGTCATAGAAATCAGTTATAAATAACAAAGGTATTTTTAAAACTATTAGAAAGGGTTTAATAAAAGACTCTCAAAGGTAAGATATAAAACTGAACTGTGAGTATGTGGACGTGAGTATCATCTTCTGTTGAAGCAGATGCTGCCTTTGTGGCAAACAATGAGTCTGGCATGGTGCGGAAGGCAGCGCTCTCCTTTTAGAATGAGTCCTTTTGTTCAGGTATGATGCATCGTGCAGAGCAAAGGTGCTCTTACAACAACTCATCTAAAGTTCAGTCACTTGAAAAATGTCTGTGGCTTCTGCAGCCCTTAAAAACCCTAACAGCAATAATGAAATGAAAGAACTAGTAAAGAGTGCTATGAATAGAGTTTTTGGTCGAGGGGCCCCAGAACACCATGGATTTTGCCCTGCCATAGCCACTCCTCTTTCCCAGGTCCTTGAGGGAAATACATGCTCAGGTCGATGACCAGCAAAGCAAGGCAGGTTTAAAACGAATCAGGGCATTGTTCACAAACCTCAATGTGAATTTCTAGTCAGACAAGATCCCAAGGAAAACTCCTTTTCCTAAAGCTGGTTCATCCAAATGATCTGAAATGAAAGGCCAAATAGATTCTTGGATCTTAACACTTAAACGTTTTACAGGATGCAGCCAGCAGCATGAGAGGAAAAGATGGGCAGTAAAGAGAGTGCGTATGCTCCAAAGCCTGGAGCAGCGCTGGCTCAGCCTTCTCTGCTGGATGGACAGATCCTGAGCCCTGCTGCCATATTAGAGGGAGTGTTCAAGAGACTGAGGTGGGGGTG